TGAAACACTACTTTAAGAAGTCGGTATCTTGGGGGAAAAAATGGTGCCATTCAGTACAGTCCTGATCCACTCATCTCACTTTGTCATCTTTGCTACAAAAATGTAGTAGCCTCACTAAACAGAAATGAGTAGCGGGCGTAATGTTTCTATGTTTGTTAAAGTGTTCTAAAGCGAATAAGATAGAAAAAACCCACCCACAAGGTTATAAGATATCGTATCATTTACAAAATGCTCAGTGATAAATGGTTTTTATAAAATTCAATCGGAAGTGCCATTAGACAAATTGGTTTAAGAGATATCCTTTAATTGCACATTTTACATTTAGACCAGATAGTCACTAGGTGAATAGGTTCTAGGCAAATTAGCCTTCAGTAAATTGGTTTAGGGCAAATTGATCTGTTACATTTTCACATTTGGAGCATAGAAATAGAAGCTGGAGACTCTCGGATGACCTGCGATATTTGCTGTGATATCCCAGCCTCGGGCAGCACTGTACTGCGCGCATCTTAGCACCCCTGAATCAGGATTCTCAGCTCCTTACGTACAGTAAGCACCTAGGAAGCATTTTAAAATCAAATGCCTGGCCCAGAGATTCCTATTCAGTAGGTCAGAGGTGAAGCCCAGGAATATGAATGTCTAGCAAGTGTCAGGCTTTCGAAGTTGCAGGTGGCTCAAGGACTGTAAGAAGCAGTGCCCTTTTGTTCACAAAAAATGACAACTAGTAAAAGGCCAAGAGTGGTTTTTACCCCTAACTTTTTAGAGATGTAATGCCAGACTACACCCTAGAATCCCTGAGAAGGGGAAGTTTGGGGTGTCCATCGGTGTGATCCTGATGCACCCCCATCCCAGGCTGTCGGGGTTGCAAGGTCTCCGGAAAGAAAGGTTTCATGGGGAAAGTGAGTCTTCCATTGTGCCTTGAAGGGCAACTGAAGTGTTGATCATCAGGCAGGAACTTTGGGAAAGGCATTTTGGGAGGTGGGTACAACACAGGCCCCGAAGAGGGAATGAGTGTGGTTACTGGCAACCCAGAGGCCAGACTAGTGAGCCAGGGAGATTCAGGGTAGGAGGCACCTAGTGTAGCCAAGACTGAGAGTCACACATGGACTTGCAGTGTGGACTGGCGCGTGGAGCCAATGTGGACTTCAAGCATGACCAGCGGGTGCTTTAGGAAGATGCCTGACACAGGGTGGGGATGGATTAGAGGGCTGGGACCCCATTATCCACACAATAAGAGGAGAAGAGGTCCCAGGCTGGTGTAGTGGGCAAGAGGCTGGAGAACACAGTCGCTTGAGAGGGATAGGAAGACACAAGGATAGACAGAGATTCAGAATGACACATGATATACAGCTGGTTCCACATCATGCCTTCACCTCTGGAATGACCTGGTATTAAGACGTCATAAAAATATAAAAATAGGCATTGCCACATGAACAAAGACCTGAGCTGCCCAGCCACTCTCCAGTTATCCACAATGTTGGCAATGGTAGGAGCAGCACAGCTAATTCACAGAAAGCAGACAGTTCCACCTGATTTTAGCCTTTTTGTCAGTTTCCTACCAAATCCACCAAGCCAACCATGAGATTAAGTGATTCACTTTTGTTCTCTGCCCTTATTTAATTTATAGCCAGGTGCAGTGAAGCAGTCAGAAAGGAGAGGCAGGCAGGCAGGAAGAGGGGGTTACCCGTGGCCCCAGCATGCCTCTCCTGGAACAGTAAGAGTGACCATCTCTGCCAGTTTGGTCCAGCTGGTGGTTTCTTCCCTTGCCTCTTTTCATAGAATCCCTGGGACCCACTTGGCTGATTTTCCAGTGGTGAAACCAAGTCAGTGTTGCTATGGAAGTAGTGACAAGAAATACTGTGGTGGATTGAGCACAGGAAGCTATTGCTTAACAAGATGGGTGGAACTCAACGTGACCTCTGCCCCTCCCTAGGCAGAGAATTCCACTCTGCTCTTTTGGTTCTCCTTTCTCCTGACCAAGCCAGTGAGCATGTACCTACCTTATACCTGCAAATGAAGGGTCATGGGTGAAGGGTCCCTGGAGGAAACCCTTAGCACTTGCAGACACATTGTGTCCGCTAGGTCTGCACTAAAGCTTCCAAGAGCCGCAGGAGTGGAACCTTCAGTAACAGCAGCAGGACGAAGGTGTTGAGTTTCTGCATCTCAGCACTTTGCAGTTAGCCGGCACTGCCTGTTAAGTTCCCGAACGTGCCTACCTTGCGTCATGTCTGTGGGGGATCACGGTGGACAGGGTGAGCTTTTGGGGTGAGCATGCAGGAGCCTTGTGCTTATGACTGGTGTGCATTTTGATGTTAGGGGAGCAGTCTTATCAGGGCCCCTAAAATTATTAGATTTCTCTATATCTTAGCAGTTCAGTGTGCATCCACCCACAGCTGCGTGCTCGTAAAACTGTGCACCGCTGTGTGCTCACACCGCCCTCCCAGCGTGGCCGTTTCTGGGGAAGGTGTGAGTGCACCCCACAGCAGATCATCGCAGCTTCGGCTCGTCCCATCGACATGGTTTGCGCCTCTTGCAACATGAGCCGGGCACCGAACGAGATGCTGAGGATACGATGATGAGTTACGCACGGTCACTGTTGTGCAGGAGAGGAGACAGTTATGGAAACAGGAAGTGTCCTCGTCGTCGCTGTTTCCTCATCTGTAAACGTGAGATAATAGTGGCGCCCCCCTCAGGCTTGTTGAGGATTAAATTTGTTGCAATGCAAAAAGCACGGGGAACAATATGCGGCACGGCACGTGGTAATAAGCACGATGTAAGTCTTGACTGCTCTGACCACTCATCGTCATCACTGCCGTCACCGTCAGCCCCGACAGGACGCTCGTCCGCGGTGCAGGGTGGGAAGAGTGATACGATGATCAGGGAAGCCTTTTGGGGAAGGTCGTTTGTGAGCTGGATGTTGAAGGGCCAGGAGGAACTGACCGAGAAGACAAAGCAGAGAAGAATATTCCAGCAGAGGGAAAGTCACGTGCAAAGGCCAGGGGGTGCAGAAGCACCAGGCAGCTTAGGTAACTCAGCAGCCCGGAAATGAGAGCAGGCGTGTGGGGGATGGTGAGAGAGACGGCTGGATCTGAAGGGCAGGAGGGGAAGCCTGGAGTACCCCCCACGCCCTTCCAGGTTCTCAGCAGTCGTCTGCAGGGGGAGGAGGCTGGAGGAGGCTGGGGAAGACCACAGCAGCTCTTCTGGGGCATGGCCAAGGCCACCTGGTAGACCTAGCTGAGGGTGGAGGCCCTGAATCTGTGGGCCACCAAATAAGTACAATCCACAGGAGAAAAGTGATCTGTGCCTCAGGAGAAACTCTGCCCAGGGCCTTTTCATGGAAAAGGTCATTTCCAACCGGAGAAGCTAGAGCAGACCTCAGACGTACAGTGTGGACGTGAAGAGATGAACCACACCGCAGACAGTTCAGGAAGGTTCCATCCATTGAGGCGTTTTCAACTGAAGAGTGTCAGGATCAGATTCAAACTCTGGGAGGGTCGTTTTGGCAGGGCTGTGGAGGCAGACTGCAGGAAGGCCACACTCAAGGCAGACAGATTGTTGGAGAAAAATCTTAAGTCCTCAGAGACCAAGAGGCAGAACCATGTGGCGCTCCTGACGTGGGGCTGAGGCTCCCAGTCCTCTCCTACTGCCCCCTCCAGCCCGTGCTGCTCCCAGCAAGTGCACACCCCTCGGGGCTCAACCAGGCTCCCACCAGTGCTAGATGGTTTCCAGGAATGTGGAGTACAGCCTTTCCAAAGGCTGTACAAAGTCTTTCCAAAACTGCCCTGGGGGTCTGACCCTGAGCCCCCCTAAATGTAGAGTGTCTCTGGGAAGCCTCAACAGCACCGTCATGGAAGCCAGAGTTGGTTCTGTGTGGGCCCCAGCAGCCCAGCGTGCCCGGTGGGGGCCTCCTTAGCGTTTGAGCAGCCCGTTGGCTGGCACTCGAGTGGGCCACCAGCCCAGCACCCAGGCTTGCACCTGAGCCAGGCTGTGCGACAACCAGTCCTCACAAAGCATCCTCCGAGGTGGGATGATCGTCACCAGGGGACCGTCACCAGGGAATTCAGTGTGGCAATGTCAAAGGCACTTGCCAAGTGGCATGCCATTAGTGGACTTGAACGTAGGGCTGGCTTCTTATCCCATGTCTGTTGGGAGGTGCCTGCAGGAAGGATCTGCTCACATGGCAGTGGCAAAACCATTAGCATCGTGGCCTGTCCTAGTGCATGTCGTGCTGCTGTAACAGAATCCCTGAGGCTGGGTAATTTATAAAAGAAAAGAGGCTGGTTTGGCTCACGGTTCTGCAGGCTTCACAAGAAGCGTGGCCCCGGCACCCGCTAGGCTTCTGGGGAGGGACGCGGGCTGCTTCCACTCGTGGACAGGAGCAGAGGGGGAGCTGAAGTGTGCGGAGATCACATGTGAGAGAGGAAGCAAGAGAGGGAAACTGAGGAAGCCAGACTCTTTTTAATAAACTGCTCTCTTGGGAGCTAATCCGTTTCTGCGAGAGTAAGAACTCACCCTCCCACTAATCTATTCATGAGGGATCCTCCCCCATGACCCAGAAGCCTCCCACTAGGCCCCAGCTCTTAAAAGCTCCACCTCCCAACATCCTTACATCGGCAATTAAATTTCAGCATGGGTTTGGGCAGGGACGAACCACATCTAAACCATAGCTTGGCGTATCCCGGAAGAGGTTTCCTTGGTGATGCAGGGGTTTCTGCGGGCAGAGGAGTTCATCACGTGCGCCCTTCCCGCTGCCGCACCACCTGGGCTGCTTGTGGGACAGACACCACTGACACCTGGGTTCCTGAGGGCCCCGTGTGCGGAAAAACGAGAGCTGGTGGCTGCTTGCTGAGTAGCACTTGCCACACTGGTGTCCTCAGTTGATGCATTTGTCTGAGGGGCCCACCGCAATGGCCACAGTCCCCCAGGTGGGCACGTGGGGTATTCTGGGTTTCTCCTGGTGGCCCCCAAACTCACACGTGCCTCTCACCCTCCTTCTGCTGCAGATCCTGGCGCCCCTGTGAAATTGCCTTGTCTGCCAGTGAAACTGTCGCCTCCGCTACCTCCAAAGAAAGTCATGATCTGTATGCCTGTGGGGGGGCCAGACCTCTCGCTGGTGTCCTACGCAGCCCAGAAGAGCGGCCAGCAGAGCGTGGCCCAGCACCACCACACCGTCCTGCCGTCGCAGATCCAGCACCAGCTGCAGTACGGCGGCCACGGCCAGCACCTCCCCTCCAGCACCGGCTCCCTCCCCATGCACCCCTCGGGCTGCAGGATGATAGACGAGCTGAACAAGACGCTGGCCATGACCATGCAGAGGCTGGAAAGGTACTGGTGGGGTCGGGAGGGAAGGCAGGAGAAGGGTTGGCAGGGGAAGGGCGCGTTGGGGGTTTAGACCACGACCGAGGAATGTGAACACGGGGGCCCGTCGCCAGTAGGGGAAACAAAAATGTTTGAAAGTGAAATCAGAACAAAAACTGAATGTCAGAGAAAGCATGGGAGAAAAGAGTAACGGTGCCCAGTTGACACACTATAGAAAAATCACATTTATCAAAAACAAAAAAATAACATGCATCTATACATAGACGAGGCTGTCCGGAAAGTATCCAGCCATGTAACCATTCTCGTCTTATTAACGGTGGCTGGATACTTTCCGGACGGCACTCATATGTAAACAGTAAGGCCTCACTTAAAGAAGTTGGTTTGTGGAAACTGCACCTTTAACAAAACGATGTATAATGAAGTTTGACCATAGGCTAATTTGTTTTTTTATGGTTCATGCTTTTTATTTATTTATTTTTTTTTATTTTAGCGTATTATGTGGGTATAAGTGTTAAGGTTACATATATTGCCCATGCCCCCCTCCCCCCGAGTAAGAGCTTCAAGCGTGTCCATCCCCCAAATGTTGCACATCTTACTCATTGTGGTTGTATATACCCATCCCTTCCTACCCCCTCCCATACTCCCAACACCCGATAAATGTTACTCCTATATGTCCACTTAGGTGTTGATCCGTTAATACCAGTTTACTGGTGAGTACATGTAGTGCTGGTTTTTCTATTCTTGAGATACTTCACTTAGTAGAATGGGTTCCAGCTGTATCTAGGAATATACAAGAGATGCTATATTACCATTGTTTCTTAAAGCTGAGTAGTACTCCATGGTAAACATATACCGCATTTTATTAATCCACTCATGAATTGATGGGCACTTGGGTTGTTTCCACAGCTTTGCAATTGTGAATTGTACTGCTATAAACATTCAAGTGCATGTGTCCTTTTCATAAAGTGACTTTTGATCTTTAGGGTAGATGCCCAGTAGTGGAATTGCTGGATCAAATAGTAGATCTACTTGTATGACTTTGAGGTATCTCCATATTGCTTTCCACAGAGGTTGAACTAGTTTGCAGTCCCACCAGCAGTGTAGGAGTGTTCCTCTCTGTCCGCATCCACGCCAGCATTTGTTGTTTGGGGACTTTTTGATACAGGCCATTCTCACTGGAGTTAAGTGACATCTCATTGTGGTTTTGATTTGCGTTTCCCTGATGATTAGAGATGTTGAACATTTTTTCATATGTTTGTTGGCCATTATTCCCTCTTCTTTTGAGAAGTTTCTGTTCATGTCCTTTGCCCATTTTTTGATAGGGTTGTTTGATTTTTTCTTGCTGATTTTCCTGAGTTCTATGTAGATTCTAGTTATCAGCCCTTTATCAGATGTGTAGCTTGCAAAAATTTTCTCCCATTCTGTGGGTTGTCTGTTTGCTCTCTTGACAGTTTCTTTGGCTGTGCAGAAGCTTTTTAATTTCATTAGGTCCCATTTGTTTATTTTTGTTGCTGTTGTGATTGCCTTTGGGGTCTTCTTCATAAATGCTTTGCCTAGGCCAATGTCTAGAACAGTATTTCCAACATTTTCTTCTAGAATTCTAATAGTTTCACACCTAAGGTTCAAGTCTGTTACCCAGAGTGAGTTGATTTTTGTGAGAGGTGAAAGGTGTGGGTCTTATTTCAATCTTCTACATGTGGCTATCCAGTTTTCCCAGCACCATTTATATAGAAGAGATCTTTCCCCAGTGTTAGGTGTTTTGTCGCTTGTTGAAGATTAGTGGCTATATGGAGGTGGTTTTATATCTGGGTTCTCTGTTCCTGTTCCATGGTTCAATTGTCCTGTTTGTGCCAGTAAAAGTGTTTAATGACTATAATATAGAATAGATATCAAGATATTCGAAGTCTGCGTAAATTGAACCTTCCCTATTATTGGTTTTTTTGCAGGTTGTTTTGCTATACGGAGTTTCTCTGTTCATACGAAGCGTTATTTTTATTTTCTATAATAATGATAGAATGTTAGTATTTTATAGGTTGCGTTGACTCTGTGTCTATTGGTCGATATATACATTTTACAATGTGATTTGCCGACGAGCATGTATATCTTCCATCTGTTTATCTCTGCTATTTCCTTCTTCAGTGTTTCATAGTTCTCGCCTGTAAAGGTCTTTTACCTCCTTTAGTTAACATATATACAATATATATTTTCTTGTTGCTATTTTGAGGGAATTGAGTCTTTGATTATTAGGTTTCACATTTTACTGTTTGTGGTGTATATGAATGCTCTGATTTCTGTGTAATTGTTTTGTATCTGAGACTTTAAATTCATCTCATCAAATCAAGTTCTTGTTGAATCCTTATTTTCTAGGTATAATATCATGTCATCAGCGAGAGTGAGAGTTTTGATCTCTTTCCGCTCCATTTGACGCCCTTAATTCCTCTCTCTTGTCTGATTGCCTGTACGCAGGACTTCCAGCACTATGTTGAAAGAAGTGGAGATAGTGGGGACAATCTTGTCTTATTCCATTTAAGTGGTGCTTTCAATTTTTCCCCATTTCAGTATGATATGGGCCCTCCTGGAAAAAAAGTTTTTTTTTTGTCATATATGGCTTGTATCATTTTTAGGTAAGCCCCATCTATGCTATTTTGTTGACGTTTTTATCATAGGTGTTAATTTGTCAAAGTTTCTCTGTGTCTATTGAACGAGTATCACATATGGTCTTTTGTTTTGCTTCTGTTATATGGTCGAATTACCGTTTATAAGATTTGCATATGTTGAACCATCTCTGCATTCCCTGGGATGAAGCCACTTGGTTGTGATGAATTATTTTCTTGACAAGCCCCCCTTGGGGGGGGGGATTCGATTGGCTAGGATTGTTGAGAATTTTTGCATCTATATTTCCATAAGGATATTGGTCTGTAGTTTTCCTTTTGTTGCATTTCTTTCCTGGTTTTGGTATCAAGGGTTTTTCACTTATAATGTGTTGGGGAGGATTTATCTTTTCATGTTGTGGAATAATTTTCTCAGGACGGCACCAAGTTTTCTTTGTAGGTGGTGGTATTCAGGTTACCGTCTGGTCCAGGACTTTTTTTTAGGAAGTTTTTTATTGCTGTATCATTCAGTACTAATATTGTCTGTTCAGCGAAAAACAATTCGTTTCTTCCTGGTTGAGCCTACGGGCTGTGTGTTTCTAAGAAAATTGTCCATTTCTCCACATTTTCAGTTTGTGTGCATAAAGGTTTTTGTATTATTCAATAATTATATCTTGTATCTCTTGGCATCAGTTGGTAATTTCTCCTTTATTTTTTGATGGAAGCTTATTAGAGATTTTCTTTTCTGCTTTTGTTAGTCTAGCCAATGTTTGTCAATTTTGTTTATATTTTTCAAAGAACCAACTTTTTTGTTTTATTAATCTCCGTATAGTTTCCTATGTACTTGTTTAGTTCTGTTGTCTTAATGATTACTTTTCTGCTGGGTTTGGGGTTGGTCTGTTCTTCTTTTTCCAGCTCTTGAAGACGATTCATTAGGTTGTCTATTTGTGTTCTTTTCGACTTTGGTATAGGCATTTATGAAATAAACTTTTCCTCTCCAGGACTGTTTAGCGTGTCCACGGTTTTTGGCACTTGTGTCACTTTTGTCTTTTTAGTTCAAAGAATCTTTTGATTTTCCATCTTGATTTCCTCATTTATGAAGTGATCATTCAGCAAAGTTGTTTAGTTTCCATGACTTTGTGTAAAATGGGACTCTGTATTAGGATTATTTTACATTTATTCCAGTTGTGGTCTGAAAAGATACTGGTATAATTTTATTTTTTTAATGTTGGACGTGCTGTGACCTAGGATTTGGTCAATCTTAAGAATGACCATGAGCTGATGAGAAGGTATATTCATGGTATTGGGATAGAATGTCTGTAATGTCAGTCAGGCTCATTTGTTCTAGGGTTCTGTTTAAGTCCATTATTTCCTTGTTGATTTTCTGTTTGGAGGATCTGTCCTGTGCTGTCAATGGGGTGTTAAAGTCTACAATTATTATGGTATTGTTGTTTGTCCATTTGTTTAGATCCAGTAGAGTTTGATTTATGAATCTGGGTACACCAAGGTTGGGCGCATATATATTTAGAATTGTTATGTCTTGTTGAACTGTACCCTTCACCATTATAGTGTCCTTCTTTGTCTTTTATTACTTTTGTTGATTTAAAAACTAGGTTATCTGTAATCAGCACCACCACACCAGCTTTCTTTTGGCTTCTGTTTGCTTGAAATATCGTTCTCCACCCCTTTACATTTAGTCTAATTGCATCCTTGCAGGTTAGATGTGTTTCCTGAAGGCAGCAGATACTTGGCTTGTGTTTTTTTATCCATTCGGCCAGCCTATGTCTCTTGAGTGGGGCGTTCAAGCCATTCACATTTATTGAGATAACTGATAGGTGGGGCAGATTTCTGTTCATTATGTTCGGTTGAACTTTGTTGCTTTGTTTTCTCTCTTGAGCCATTGTAGTATCTGGGCTTTAATGTTTAGCTTTGAGTAGATTTACATTCGTGAGTGTTTATTGTGCTGATCCGTGGGTAACACTGTTTTGAGTACTTCTTGTAGGGCTGGTCTTGTCTTGGTGAATTCCCTCAGTCTTTGCTTATCTGAGAATGTCTTGATTTCTCCTTCATATACAAAACTTAGTTTTGCAGGGAATAAGATTCTGGGCTGGGTATTGTTTTGTTTCAGAAGAGTGAGAATGGGGCCCCAGTCTCAGTAGAGAAGTCTGGTGTTATTCAAATTGGCTTTCCCTTGTATGTTACTTGCTTCTTTCGTCTTACAGCTCTTAGAAGGGCCTCTTTAGTTGATATTTTGGTCAGTCTGATGACTGCATGTCTTGACATCTTCCTATTTGCATTGAATCTTCCAGGGGTCCTGTGAGCTTCTTGAACTTGTATATCTAGATTTTTAGCAAGGCCTGGGAAATTTTCCTCTATTATATCTTCAAATAGCTTGTCCAACCCTTGAGTGTTTTC